TTAAGAGTAGGTTTAGTAATGAACGAATACTGATCCAAATCCGAACTCATTCTTAACACAATATCATGAACCATATCCAAACCTCCATGGAACCCAAATTGAATTCCCATAGTTAAGAACATTCTCACAGTCAATGTACCACCAGATGGCATTTGCAGTCCATTCTTAGCGCTAATGTGAATTGCCAGACCTTGAACAACAGCAACATCTTCGGGAAACTTTTGATAGTAGGCTCGGTTCCTCTCAATTACTTTTTGGAAGGTAGCACGATAAACTCGATCGGCTGAGTGACCAACTGGGGCAAGACCACCGCTGGTGAAAACTTCACGTAGACCTTGGTGGTGAAAAGAGAGATATGTGAGAATGCAGAAACCGCCAAATGATTGGCCGAACACGGACCATCTGTATAACATTAGCGGGTGTTCACTCTGGATTTCAATAACGTGGAATCAATGGTATGAAAAATGAACTTTATGTCGAGAGACAAAGTTCTGAGAAGGGACGGGAAGAAGAAGACGCTCGTGGGATGCAAGAATAATCAGAAATGACAACTTGGAAGATAATGAAGAAAATTACACACTTCTTAAGTTCTTCAGGATAATCAGCAGTGAGTATCTTTCTTATAGCCTCACAATCTTTCACAATACTATCAGCTCTGAAATGCTTAAGATAATCAGCTTGACGTTGAGCATCTCCCTGCAAAGCCAAAGTACCAGCTGAAATAGGATTACTCAATCCAGTTCCACGCTGATCAATATACAGCATTTGATAGCCTTTATCAAGAACTACATTGGTGATTGGAGAATCTTGAGGCGGTTTGCATCCAAAACCTGGTCCACCTTGGAGGTAAACGAACCAGGGTTTTTGGGAAGACTTGCGGATTTCTTCTTCCGTGGGCTTAGTAGCTGGATTCTCATACTTGATTACACTGCGTGCAAATATACGAATTGAGCCTTTTGATTCATTGGAGTAGCTAGATAGGTGGGCTGGAGTTAGTCTTTATTTCAAAGCAGATACTCGTTGCTGTTGGCTGGTGTATGAGAAATTCTCAGGGGGTATTACTCACTCCAAAGGAACCTCGAAAGATAATTCTGAAACTTTCAGTTTTCCTAGGGATATATTAGTTGGTATTTCTTGATTGGTAGTGTTAAGCAGAGAATAATGATAGAATCAGATAAGAAACACAACAAGTCATAGAGTGATTGTAGATTGAGCCCAATTTGAGCAGATGAGAACAAATTGGTCATGACAGATATCAAAACATGAATATGTAAGTGTTCTCAAAATGTAGAGGAATCAAAATGTAGATAATATCATACCTGGTATCAAATGTGTTTTTGAATCCACAAGCTGAGATAAGGACATTTTGTTAGGCGGTTTTGAGGCTGGTGTCGTCCTTAACAATTTGAAGAGTTGTTTGTTGAGGTTGAGCATAAGAAGTATCTCTAGAAAAGACAATTCTATAAACTGAAGGGTAAAAGGAGAACAATGTATGAATAGATATATAACTCGTGGGATGAGCACACCGCTGACTGAAGTGTGCTTTGCTTTAATATGATATCTCCAGCTCCAAGGAAGATAAGCAATGGATAGTGGAAGAGAATGAGATTGTACACCTATCCATGTATGATACGTGAAGTAACTATATAAAGAAGAATTACCGCTTTTATATGTAGCGAACGATGTCGGATTGAGATTTTCACAAGAGTCTGATATGAAGATATAATCTCTATATATACTCGAGTATTCACGCACCTGTCTATTTGGGGGGGGGCTCCAGGAGGGGAAGCTATGCAAACGTGGGGCCAGGTCGGCCTCAAGGGTGGATTACTGGATTGCTGAATTGCTGGATTGCTGGATTGCTTGCCTTCTGCACATTAATTAACACGCCCGCGCTATCACACAATTCACCCCACCAAATAATAATCAAACGTCTTGAACAAAGAAGAAAGAGCTGATTGAAATAAGAGGAGGGCAAAAGTTAAAGGTACGTGATATTCAATACCTCTGTTTACCTACACAGTAATTACAGATAGATACATCCGAGAAGAAGGAAACCGTACAGTTTGTAGTATCATGACTAATAACCTTTGGTTGCTCAATATCATTCAATTGATTGAGAAAATGAAAGTTCATTTTTTAACCTTATGGGTCCCGTGCTTGCAAAATCTTCCATTCACTGCCCAGTGGTTACATGATGCAACATACAGGATCATCCATATATATACATACATACATACATACATACATACATACGGGTTAAGAGCTCCTCAGAACTTACATATAAAGCCAGTAGAGGATCGACAACATCCAAGTCATCTTAGCCATCTACACACACACTACTTCTACAAAATCGCTGACTCTCTTCTTTCCAGTCACGTGATACTTGTGCCCCTCCCTATCTAGCTTCTGGTCTACTCTTCAACCATTCAAGATGGTCAAAGACAAGAAATCGAAATCCGAGGACAAGAAGAAGAAGCTCGCGGAGAAGAAACAAAAGCAAGAGAAGAAGGCCGACAAGAAAGAGAAGACTAAAGCTCAAAAATCCAAATCCGCCGACGACAGCGACAATGAATCCATCGATCTCGATTCCGTTCTAGCCGAGTATGCCAAAGCTCAAGAATCGTTCTTGAAGATCACAGAAGTCGTTTGCGAGCCTCCGAAGCCCAGAGCTTCTTCGACTCTCATCGCTAGTCCTAGTAATGCGAATGAACTATTTTTATTCGGGGGCGAGTATTTCAACGGCGCTTTGGCGACTTTCTTTAATGATTTGTATGTGTATGCGGTTAATAAGGATGAGTGGCATGTAGTGACGAGTCCGAATGCTCCATTGCCGAGATCTGGTCATGCGTGGTGTAGAGGTGGAAATGCAGGGGGGATATACATGTTTGGAGGGGAGTTTTCCAGTCCGAAACAGGGAACTTTTTATCATTATAATGTGAGTTCTCTCACACCATGTCATTGTACATCATACTCCCAGACTTAAAAACTGGGATACAGATGATAGATCTATGAATGTATACTAACAACACACAGGATTTCTGGCACCTCAATCCCTCCGAACGTGAATGGACACGTCTAGAAACCAAAGGCAAATCTCCCCCCGCTCGTAGCGGTCACCGCATGGCCTACTACAAAAATTACATTATCCTATTTGGCGGTTTCCAAGACACATCGCAAGCGACCAAGTATCTCTCCGACCTCTGGATCTACGACACTTCCAACTTCATCTGGCACAATCCCGTTCTTCCCCCCGTGACCCAGAAACCCGACGCCCGATCCTCTTTCACCTTCCTCCCGCACGAGAACGGCGCCGTATTGTACGGAGGCTACTCCCGCGTCAAAACAAACGTCTCGGGAAAACAGATGAAAGGTGGTGGAATGGCCATGCGCAACGTGCTCAAACCCATGATCCATCAAGACTGTTTCTATCTCCGCATTACCCAACCCGCCGATACATCGACCGCCGCTCCTCCCACCGTGCGTTGGGAACGCAGAAAGAAACCAGCCAACACCCCAAATCCCCCACGTGCAGGCGCCACAATGGCTTACCACAAAGGACGCGGTATTCAATTTGGCGGTGTCCACGATGTTGAGGAATCCGAGGAGGGAATCGATAGCGAATTCTTCAATACACTCTTCGCATGGAACATTGAACGAAATCGTTATTTCCCCCTTGCTTTACGTAAGCCCCGAGCTCAAAAGAAAAACAACGGAGGAAACGAGCGCGGAGGAGGAAGAAGAGGAAGAGGCCAAGCAAACGAAGAAGAACTCCTGCGCAATCTCGCCGCGCTCGAGACGGGAAAATCGCTAGCCGATGCAGATGATATGGAGATTGACACAAGCAAACCTGAAGGTGAAGATGCAGATGCCTTACCCGCCAAACAGATTCTCATGGAATTTCCTCACGTCAGATTTAATGCACAATTGGCTGTGCAGGATGATGTTCTCTATATCTACGGAGGTACATATGAGAAAGGCGATCGCGAATTCACATTTGATGAAATGTACGCGGTTGATCTAGGCAAAATGGACGGCGTCAAAGAGATCTTTAGACGAGAGCCCGAAAACTGGCTCGGCAGCGAGGAAGACAGCGAAGACGACGAAGAAGACGAGGACGAAGACGACGAAGACGATGACGAGGAAGATGTCGACGAAGAGGGCGATGTCAAAATGGACGAGAAAAAACATCTCCACACCGAAAGCACACGCAAATCCAAGCGCAAAGAGAAGGATTCTCTTTCCGCCGAACTCCCCGATTCATCTCCTGCGACTGCTGCGCCCGAATCCTTCGACGATACACCCGATACCTCGACGACCAGTCCGGACGATCATCTCCCGCATCCGCGTCCGTTTGAAAGCCGTCGCGATTTCTTCCAGCGCACGGGTAATGAGTGGCAAGAAGCGTTGATGACGGGACTGCGCTGGAAGGGCATCCAGCCGGAAACGCTCAGTGTCAAGGAGATTAAGACGAAGGCGTTTGAGATGAGTGAGGAGAAGTGGTGGGATTGTAGAGAGGAGATTGTGGCGTTGGAGGATGAGCAGGAGGCGAGTGGCATTGGGGAGGTGGTGGCGTTGGCGGAGAGGGCGGAGGGTGGGGGAGGGGGGGTGGGGAGGAGACGGTAGATTTGGATTGTAGAGTGGATGGTTTGATGGGAGACGCGGATAGGTGGACTATGAGCTAGCAAAATTATACATATTCTACCATCAACCTCCCTCCACATGATTTCCAATACTGATGGAATGTCTGAATCTTTATACTCAAAGATACTCGTCACTCAATACTTAAACTCCGGACTTTCTCTCATTTCCATTTTCCCTGGGTATCCCAACATAACAACTAAACATACACTCGTACAGTACAATCTTGAAGAGATCCATCAAAGTGAACATCCCCCCATCAACAAACCAACCAATCTGACCCAAACTCCCAACCCAAGCAAACCACACCTTCCCACATCTCCTGCCACACTATTTCCTCCCTTCTTCCCTTCCGTACCCTAAGCACCATACCTATTAAAACACTCTTCCTTATGGGTCCCCAAACACTCCAACGCGCACACCCTCCCTCCACACCTCATACACTTCACTCTCCCCCAATACCCACACACCTCACAGAAAACTCTCCCCGGTTTCCTACGATCCTCCTCCGTCCATCCCCCTCTCGCCTCCGTATAACTAAGTGGCGGCATCTCCAGCAATCTCTGCATTTCCTCCACACTCGGCAGATTCGGCACCCGCGAAACAAGCAACGGATCGGAATCTCTGGGGTGTGGTTTGGGAGGCGGCAAGGAGCACAAAAATGGCGCGAATGTTGTCTCTGCCGGAGTAGATATCGCGGGTGTGGGATTCGTAGCTGGAGACTCGGCTTTTATCACCGGAGTGCTCATTTTTCGCAACGGTGTGGAAATCACCGGCGCATTGGGATCTTTTTTTTTGTGGCTGCGTTTGGGGGGGTCGAGGACGGGGGGGAGCGGTTCTTTTCTCTTGTGGCTGCGTTTTCCGGTGCTGGTGAAGCCGGGGACGGGAGGGAGTTTGGGGGTCGAGAGAGTAGGTGTTGCGGGTTGTTGAGGAGTGGATGTGGAATTAGATGTGGAGGAGGGAAGAGAAGAGAGGGCTTCGAAATCAGAGAGATGGTTTGCGAATGTTTTTTGGGAGGCGAGGATTTTGCGGACCGAGGGGGTGAGTTTGGTTTGGTTTCCTGTGGGTGCTGTATGTTAGTTTTTATTTGCGCATCCATCTATATATATCCATATCCAGATTGCTTCATTCCCCTCCTCTCCCCCAAGCCCCAAGAAAAACATACCTCTCCCGCCCTCCTTTCCTCTCCCTCCTCCCGTAACCGGTATATTAACATCCCTATGATTTTCCCTATCCAACTGCGCCAACTCTCTTAGAATCTTCGCATCCTGTTTCTTCGTTGTTTCCGCGCCCAGTCCCGCACCTGCTGGGCCGCGCGCGCGGCGCGCTGAGGGCTGTAATCCTATCTGCGGCGTTTTGGATACATCAGGTACATATGCGTAGCCGGGGGCTGGTACGTATTTTGCGGGCGCGATTTCAAGAACGCCGAAATTCATATTCGTGTGTGGGTTTTGGAGGATGTGAAGAATGTGAAGGGTGGAAGGAAAAGTTGGGGAGGTTTTGGGTTCTAGAGGGCCAGGCGAGGCTGAATATTGTGGATGGTGAGGTTTTGCGAGATATGGAAGTTATGAAATATCAGGACGAATTTTCTTTTTAAATTAAAAATCAATGAACATATTTTCTGAAGCTGTATTTATGCGATCCAGTCAAAATCATATCTCAGTATTATAACTCAAAGCTTTACATTGCTCCAAAGAAGCTTCTTGAAGTTCGCACACACTCCACCACATAAAATCAATATAAGGTCCTTGGAGATGTTTCTTATTTCCTATAAACCTAGCATTATGCTCGCAGCTAGCAAAGATAATCATCAAATCAACTCATCGCATCGCATTTCGGATATTATACACGATCTCCTTCCGCTTGCAATCTCTTCCTAGCTTCCCGCACTATGCCTTTTCCTCGCAATCGTCTTTCCAATCCCTTCTCGTCCACTGACATTCTCTCTTGACTTATTTCTTCTTCTTCTTCTCCAAATCTGCAAGCTTTTCCTCTAGCGATTGAACATATGTGTGAACTCTCTGTACTGAATTTTGTAGACTCTGTGTTGTGCCTTGATTAGCTTTCTTCTCATCCAATCCACTTCTTGTCATTAGATCCTCCCTGCTCCCTCCTCCATCCTTCCTCCAGTCCCGCAATATCATCCCTCCAAACCAAATAGCAAAGATCCAAGAGAAACAAAACTCACATAAATATCCTCTGTCAACAACTCATTGCTAACCTTATATTCCTCAAGAATGTAATAGTAAACTCCCGCACCGGCCAATGTTGATCCGAGTAAGAAGCCAGTCAAACTAGAGATCCCCATACAAATTAGCTTTCATCCTCATCCCGCTGTATCATTTTCTGCATCCTTTCCCTTCTGCCCCTCAAACCCGGTGAGCCCGTCGAACTCGCCGAACTCTAGGCCTCCGCACCAAAACCAATCTCCCAAACAAGAAGAAAATTCCTAACTCACCCTCCTCTAAAAGCTCCAACGGGTTTCCTGACTGGCAAAGGAGTTTCCACAATCTGAGCCGCTCTCCTTGCACTCATTGAAAACCCTCTAGTAGCTCCCATTCCTGGTGCGCGAAGCATTCTGCTTGCTGGTGATAGGATGCGCGATGCCATTGTATTTATAATGCTGTGTCTCGGGTTTTTGTAATATCGTGGTTGATATTATGAAAATATAATGTCGATCAAAAATGCCGTGAATTGCTTTGTTACGTCGTTGGTGCGGAGTTCTTTAACCGGCCTCTTTCGTATGTTTTGTGGAAGATCAAGCTTTTGTTTGGAGCTTTCCCCGGCCGACCAACTAACTTCCTGAGGCGCGAATATTTTTTTAGCTAAAACGATGCGGGGTGATTTCACGATTTACTATTTACAGCACCAATCAATCACTTCTAGTGTACATTTTAACAGAATCTTAATAAGTACCTACCTAGGTTTCTATCTTGGTTATTGAGATAAAAAGATCTACATAATTCAAACGGTAATTTTGTCACGAGTAAAAATCAAATAATCAAATAATCAATTCGCATTTTGCTCCAGTATTGCTCCAATGTTATTGCCTTAACAATTTAAAGAACCCCAACCCCAATATCTGTTGCGTTAAGCTACAGATACATGAAACACAAGAAACCCCAAAATTTCTTTTCGAAATTAAATCACAACTCGTCATGATCCTCAGCAGCAGCTGCGGTCTCAGTGGCCTCAGCAACCTTGCTAGAAACGGTCTCACTAACCTCCTCAGCTGCGCTCTTGACAGACTCAGTAGCGGCTTCGGCTTGCTTGGCCAAGGACTCAGCGATTGGCTTCTCTGCTTCTGGGGAAGCAGCAGCGTTCTCATCATAGGTAACTTCAATCTCGTGTTGGCCATTCTCCTTAACGAACTTGATCAAGTCCTCGATGCTACGGCTACCGTTGTAGGTAACTGGGTTCTTCTTGTCACCAGCCTTATACAACTTGATGGTTGGAAAACCTTGGATCTCATCTGGAACATCATTAAGAGTAGCATCAACCTTGGCGATGGTAACCTTGTCATTGTGACCGGCATCAGCGTAAAGGCCAGCGAGGATATCGTATTTTGGCGCAAGGGCCTTGCAGTGTCCACACCATGGAGCGTAGAACTCAATCAAAACATCCTTCTTGTCATCTAAGACGATATCATCGTAGTTATGAGCGACGACGATCTGAACTGGGCCTTCTTGCTTCTCTGGGATTGGCTCAGACTTGATACTTGGCTCAACCTTTCCGTCAATGTATTGTTGAACGAACTTGCTAATGGAAGCTTCAGTGATCTCAACGCTTTGGTCGAAAGGATATTTCTTGTTGTCGACAGTGCTTTGGATGGCGAAAGCGGGGAACTTTTCAACGTCAAGGTTTAAGTTACCAGCATGAGCTCCGAAAGCCTTTGCGTCAATGGTTGCGAAGCTGATGGCACCACGGTGCTTTTCTGCGACTGGCTTAAGAGCCTCAGCGAGAGTAGTTCTCTCCTCTGGGGTTTCGGCGAAAATGTATGCCAATGGGATTCCAGTGGCCATGTATCCGGCGTATGTTTCAGGGCCAACTTCACCGATCAATGGGATAGAGGCAGTCTTTGCGAACTTCTCAATGACCTCAGCGTCGAAAGCATCTGGGAAGATAGATTTGCCCTCATCGAATGACTTGTAAAGAACAACGGATGGGAAGCTAACACCCTCGGCTTTTGCCAAAGCTGCATCATTGCTGGCACCGAAGAGGTAATCGTCACGGAGTTTCTCTGCAACTGTGTTGAAGGTAGTATTCGAGGTCTTGTCCTCAGCATCGAAGTATGCAACCAAAACTACCTTGTCGGCAGTTTTGAAATCCTCCAATGTATCCTTGGTTAAGACTGAGACGGCGGGGAGGGATTGCTTGGTCATGTATGAGACAATCCTAGATGTGTTTATTAGTTTGTTGATCTTGCTGGCAATGGAAGGCTTCTACTCACGCTGGGGCTTTTCTTGCACCAGAATATGGGGAAACATTTTCTGGGCCACGGAAAACCTTGAGAGTTGGGTAACCCTCAACACCAAAGCTTTGGCAGAGGTCGGCTTCTTCTGTGCAATCAACCTTGGCCAAGGCAATCTTTTTCTCCTTCAAAGTTGTAGCAGCTTCTTCATACTCAGGGGCCAATGCTTTGCAGTGACCGCACCAAGGTGCGAAAACTAGAGAACAAAAGTGTTAGTCGGTGGTTCATGTGGGAGGCAAATGCCTTATATTGGGGAAACTTACATTCTAGAAGGGCCAAATCATTCTCCTTGATGAAATCTGGAAATGTTTCCTTGGTAAGGGAAGCAACATCAGAAGCCGAAGCAATTGCAGCTGATGCAAAAGCTAATGCAACACATTGTAGATAACGCATGTTGAAGGTATTTCAATTCACGGCCCTGTCGTGTCAAAGCGTCAGCGGGGGATGCCAATGTGAAAGTGTGAGATGCGCAGGTGTAAATAAGAGTATCCCAATACAATGGAACTTTTAGAAAGCCAAGTTATGAGATGATTGGAAACTTACGTCTTCTTCTTAAATAAATATAACAAGTGGTTGTTGGAAGAAAGAATGGATTGTGTTGATTCGGGGAAGAAGAGGAGAGGTGTTCCCTTTATTCAATGATGATTCGGCTACTGTGAATTTATCAGCCTTCCCGCTAGTGATTAAGATAACAGCGTGTCTTTATTAGTATTTTTGTGTAAGATTACAGGTTCACAGCTTCACAGAGCGATGTTATGCCGAACATCCCTTATGGGTAGGGTATACCAAGCCTAATTTAACCCATATTACACAACATCAGGCGAAGTGATCCCATTAGAATTCCAAAATTGAATCAAGGACAACAACATATCAGTATCGCTTTTATCTCATCGTTCACACATTGTGCAGTATGGTGGACCATTGAGACTTTGTATTGTATATCACACATTCAAGATGCATCTAGTCCCTTGTTTTGACCCCGCCTTTAGTGGTGATTTGTCGGTAACTACTGATCCGCAAAGTTGGTTAGACTTTCTTCAAGGAGATAAGTGACATACTTTAACCTCCATGATATATATCTCCATGCTTATCTCGTGAACTCTCCCTTCTACTCAACAAAGTTCAAACCTTTTTCAAACCTTTGGTCTATACTTGCATTATGCATGTAAATGTCCGTAGATATTGACAGTTATCATATTATGAAATGTCAATCCCAGCTGAAGGAGGCAGGCGAGGCGCGTAAGTCAAGGTAAGGATGGGTTCAGCCCCCTTCTCTTTGCTTCTTCATTTACAATTTCGGTTCAAGCCTCTTCTCTATGTCTCTTCACTTACAAATCCATACTTTTTTGAGAGTCCACCCGTCATGGATAGATAGCCGCTGATAGATGACTCGGGCATTCTGAGTAAGCCACAAAGCTCGAGTTCAAGTATGCCTTGTGATCTGCAACAATGGAATAGTTCTTCAGATCGGATTGCTGATCAGTCTATTCATAGCCATCCCAATACACAATATTGGCTCATCCAACAATGTTGAATTCCAGCGGATGTTTGATAGATTATCTTCTGTCGGAAAGCCTGTGGTGAACCTTCGTCAAAGTTTAGACATACCTGACACTAAACACACGTTTTGTAAAGCTTTTGCAGCTTCGATTTGCCAGGAAAGCATCAAGAAGTGTTTTATCCATGAAAACACATACACAACTCTCCTGCGTAGAATGCAAATCTCGGTCACAGTTTGACAAATTCAGATTGACAGAGCATTTTCACCGTCTCCATGATACTCATCATGGCAATGTCTTGAAGCTGGCAGAGATGGCCTGTTTGTAAGTACAATAGATACAAGATAGTCGATGCGTTTCTTGACAACTTTCCTTAAACTGGAGGAATCAAAAGGTTTTCACGATAACCATTACAATATATCTGAAATCGAAACATGGAGTACAACAAGAAGGTTGGTGATCAAGA